TTCTACGGCTTAGGAAAGCTCTATATAGATTACGAAGATTACCCCTTCTTTAGTAATAGTATTTAATACGTTCCCTTAAAGCCCTAGGCTTTAAGAAAGTCCCTTAAGAACTATATATAATATAGAAGGGTAAAATCACGGTCTTCTTCTACGTTAACGATATTATTTAAGCGTACCTAAAAGAGGAAGAAGTTACTACTAGGGAGGCTATACGAGGCCTATAATAAAGGTATAAGATAACTAGGCTAGGGGAGCTTAAGTAGCTCCTAGGGATACGAATCCTTCGGAATAGGTCCTAACGGACTATCTAGCTTACCTAGGACGCCTATATCGATAAGGTCGCTTATAAATTCCTCCCTAATTCCTCGATAAGAAGCTTCTACGCTTATATTAGACGAAGAGCTTACCTAATCCGTCCTTTTAAGCTAGGAGCAAGAGAAACACTAATATTAATAGAAGGTGCTCCTGCTTTTTAGCTATTTCTACTAGACCGGATATCTCTTTTACGGTCTCCTAGCTAGCTAGGCATAACTAGAATCCTAGCCCTAGGCATTAAGAAGTAGTAGATAGAGCTATCCTTTATCTCTATTTAACGAGATTATATAGTCTGCGCTTAAGAGGGCAGGGAAGGAAATAAGCTGCCGAAATCTTCCTTTATTTAAGCGATTCGTCCTTTACGGATAATTCCTTAGATAGAAAGAGCTTATAAGGGTATATTATATCCCTTTTTAGAGGAACTATTGCTTAGAGAGCTTCGAAATAAGCTACCGTTATAACTTCGAGTACGGAGGCAGAGCTACTAGCTCTTTTAGAAGCGTTAAAAGAAGCGATTTTCCTTAGCCGGCTACTAATATCGTTACGACTATAAATTCCGTCCCCGTTAGCTATAGAATGCGATAACACGTAGACTATACGAATTCTTATAGAGGAAAACAGCAAGCTGTCGACCCGGCTACGGTATATCGATATCTACTAGCATTAGTTACGCTAAGAGGTCTAAAGGGGACTTATTTCCGTCTATTAGGTTCTAACGGTATTAATAAAAGCCGACGGTCTTACGAAGCCCCTACCGAAGCAGAAGCTAGCTATCTTCTTATAGCAAATTAGGCTAGAAGACGTTCGAGAGAAGCTGTCCTTAGAGGCCCGCCTTAAGAGTCTACGAGAGGAGCTAATAGCCTATACGAGAAGGTAACGTCTATAGCCGAAGAAAAGGAAGAGGCTTTTCCCTTTAGAGGGCCCCCTATTTTAATTAGGGTTTTCCCCCTTTCTTATAGGACTTTCCCCTCTTTAGGCCCCTTTTCCTTAAGTAGGTCTAAAAGAGCCTAGGGACCCGAAAGGGCCCCTGCTTTTAAAGGGAGAAGTGCAGAGCTAAGAACCTCCTCTATACGCTTACTAGCTCGAAGCCGTATTAGCTATGCCCTTACTATAAGGGCAGCTATAGCTAAGGGGGTGTATCAAGCGTGGCCTGATTTCGAGTTCTCGAAGATATCCCTAGTAAGAGGGACTAAGGAAGCTAAAACACCCGGTATAGAAGAAGGAGCTAAAAAGAAGGTGTAGGAAGGAGAGTAGGGGCATAAGGGGAAGCATAAGTAGCGAGAGATAAGACGGATATACCGGAAACGGCTATAAAGGAAGGAAAAAACCGGCAAAAAGCTTAGTAGTTAAAAGGACATTAGTAGCTTCTTTAAGCAGGATCTTCTTTATTAATTAAGATGCTAGACGGGTATAAATAGGGGCGTTGGATAGAGGAAAGAAGGATAATTAAGGAAATATAACAATTACTCCCCTACCTTTATTACTGCTCCCGCAAGAATTAAATCTCTCTGCCCTGCCTATCCGACCCCTTACTTCTAATTTCACCTTCGTGCATTTTATATGCACTTCTCGTATCTCTCTTCGCGAGAATATTAATAGAAGCTTATATTAAGAATCTTCCCTTAAGCACGCCTAGCTAGGAATACTTCCTATATATAGTATAACTTATACCTAGTAATAAGGAACCCTTAAGCTTAGAGTAGTAGAGCAAGGAATCCTTCCTAAATAAATATACCGCGTTAAAGAACCCTCTTTATAGTAAGGCAAAGGAATCCTTCCCTTATAATAATTATATATTAAGGAACCCTCTTTATAGTAAGTAAAAGGAACCCTTCTCTTATAACTATATCTACGCGTTAAGGAACCTTCTTTATAGTAAGTAAAGGGAACCCCTCTCTTATAATAACTATACCGCTTTAAGGAATCCTCTTAGTAGTAAGGTTAAAGAATACTTCCCTCGCGTAAATATATAGCTAACTAGTATACTGCTTTTATAGTAGGTATATAAGCAAGACTACTTATAAAAGATAAGCTAAGCTATAAGATTAAAAATAAAGTATATCTTAAACGGCTAATTATAAAGAAATAGATTTATCGCCGAGACCTTTTAGACGTACTAAAACACTACTCCTAACTATAAGACTACCCTCTCGGATATTAGTTTAAGGAGGCAGAGGAAGTATACCTTTAAAGCTATAAAGATATAAAGTCTTAGTTTAAGGTAAGCTTTATAGAGCTCTCGAATAAGGCCTAGGTGCTCGACTATATATAGGTTTACGTATATAAATTCGATAAGTATAGGAGGCTCTTAAAATATAAGGTAAGACTAGTAGTACGAGGGGATTAATAGCGCCGAAATAAGTAAGAAACCTATATAGCTACGCTTACTAGAAGAAGCTTTTATATATTAATAATAATAGTAGTAAGGTTCGACCTTAAACTAATCTAATATAAAGCTATTAATATATTTATAAATACCTCTCTAAATAAGAAAGTCTTTATAAAGATACTACTAAGCTATAGGAAATATAGGACTATATTAAAGCTTAATAAAGCCCTTTATAGATTAAGGAAATTACTATTACTATAGTATTAAGAGCTTACTAATACGCTTAAGAAGCTCGGCTTTAAGCTAGTGCTATACGAGCCCTGCTACCTTACCCTTAATAGAATTATTATTTTCTTCTACGTTAACGATATTATCTTTATATATTAGTAAAAGAATAAGTTAACGGCGTAAGCCTTAAAGTATAAATATATAAGAAATACTAGCTAATAGGTAGTAATAGCCTTTAGTAGTTTCTTAGTATAAGATTCTTTAAGACTATAAGAAAAGCTTTATTTAGCTATTATAAGCTTTATATATTAATAAGATCTCGCGCCTCGCAAAGAAATATAAGAGCTTTAATACCCTAATAGGGGTTAACGAACTTTTCCTATTTAACGGTATTACTTTATTTACTAATATTAATTTATACTAAGTAAAAATAAGCTCTATACTATACGCTATAGCTATTATACGCCTAGATATCGCGTTTATAACCTTAAAGCTATTAAAGTTTAACTTTAACCTAGGACCTAAATATTATAAAGCGGCCGACCGCGTAATCTACTATCTATAGTAGATAAAAGAACTAGCGCTCCGCCTAGGGGTAGGGATAATTTAGTAGTAAGCGATACCTCTTTCGCCGATAACTTATTAAACTATAAGAACTCTTAAGGTTTTATAATAAAGCTATTTAGAGGCCTTATCGGCTAGCGATTAAATAAATAAAACACTATTACTACTTTAACTATAGAGGCAGAGCTACTTACCCTCTTATAAGCAGTAAAGGAATCGATATACGTAAGCCGCTTAATCTAAGAACTCGACGTAAAACTTAACTACTCTTAAATTAGTATCTAATACGATAATATATAAATAATATATATCGTAACCGCGGAGGTAGTAAAGCTACGAACTAAGCTATAGCACGTTAATATTTTTAACTACTAGCTTCGCTAAGAAATTACGAACGGAACCCTCGAAGTTAAATATATACTAAGCGCCGAGATAATAGCTAACGGTTTTACTAAGGCCCTCTAAGGACCTAAGTTCTAAGCCTTTATTAACTAAATCAGCCTCTACGATATCTCCGACCGCCTTATATTATAAGAGCTTCCTAAATCGACCGACTTAATACTTTAAGAATAATTATATATAATATAAGAGGACTAAGTTATATAAGGCAGTATATAGCAGCGGCCTAGAAAGAAGGGCCCTTTGCCTACGGGCACTATAGACTATAGGGGAGATTCCTTTATAAGTTAGGGAGCAAAAATATAATCATAGGCTAGCCTCCCACTCTTCTATATAGAAGAGGGCTCGGCTAGGGGGGTGTGTCGGAACTAACGGGTAAAAACATATGTCGGATCACGTGTATTATCACGTGCAGATACCGGGCAAATCCGGCAGCTAATTTCCCCCCTAGGGACGAGGCCTCCTTAGAGGCCTTAAGAAGAAAAAGAATATATTCCATCACAATTAATATAACCTCTTTTACAGCTGCATATAAGCTGCTGCATTAAACCTTGATCTATCGTGCATACCTACCTATTTCCTTATTAGGCCCGAGCCGCAGAACCACCGTTCTGATAGTCATTGATAGTGGTTGGTACGCCGATTGTGTTCTCTCATAACGCTATTCCCTGTTAACGGGCGGGAACCCGGGTGTACCCTGTTCGCCCAAGGGTGCCTCCAGCCGGCTTCGAACCGACCCCTCTGCAACGCAGAGGCTCCAGACGTGTCACCACTACGCCATGGAGGCCGCACGACCTCAGCCACAATCCGGCGGATCACTGGATCCGGCAGATCACCGGGAAATCCCTTACACAACAAAGATATCATGTGATGTGGCGTCGCATCAGTTGCTGCGCCACTCGTCGAAGGTCCTTTCCTCTCCGTTCGTTGACTCATTCTTATCGCGCCCACTTCATACCACCACCAGGACAACGGCATATGCTGCTCGTTGTCGACGTTTTCGTACGCTGCCTCTCATCCAAGACGCCTCTCAACAATTGCCGGCGCACGGATAATCTCGAACGATAGACTGCGCGTCCACGGAGACCTTCGAATAATTCGTCGCCGATGGCTGCAATCACGGGAATATATCCATGACCAACCCATGCGTTCCAAGCCACACAAAATGACGAACAATAACCCGTCAAGTCCCGACCGAACAAACCCCGCAGGTGGGAGTAACGGCAACGAATGCAAGCCATCCCCTCGCACCGAGTCCGCCGGAAAGGTCGCAACGGACCAGACTGGCCGTGACAAGGAGAATACCTCTATCGACGAGTCGGGTGTCACACCGAGCGAAGTCAATTTCGAAGAAATCTTCGCACGCGTTGAGAAGGAGAATAAAGAGATGACCAAGGAGCAGCTCGAGGCCAAGTACCCTTGGATGAGTGCGTACTCAACTTCAATCATGAGAGAATCGCCTTTGACTGAACTAAAAAACCCTTTCTAGAACAATCACCACCGAGGACAGTCAACTCCAATGTGGCAATGGCTGTAGTGGATGAACTATTTGATGGCTCGGACCGCGAGAATGACTGAGACGCAACGCATCGCCTACATAGCGCTGTGGCATCGTACCTAACAGCATTCATAGGTCCTGCCTAGGCAGTTCTCACCCCTTCAAATCCTGTATGAGTGTCTCTTGCCACAGAAATAGCCAATCATCTTCAACTTTGAGGGATAGCAAGACTGGCGATATTTCATGACTAGTTCTGAGCACGCCAAGGCCTGCCTTTGTCCAAGTGCTTTGATGCCTGAGAGTGATCATAATTCCCAACATACCTTACCATCTTCCCTCCGCCAAGGAAATACGAAAATGATTAAAAGAAAAAATGAGCTCAAAACAGTCCAGACTTTGATGCTCGTTTCCTATCAATGCTCCTCTCATTGTCCATGTTCATCTTTCTTTGCGCCCGATTGCTGACCAGAGTCTGTCTTGGGAGGAGGGTCTTGAGCACGCGCTTCGGCCTCTACTATTGCTTTTTCGGCCACGGCTGGGTCTACCACATGTGGTTTGCCGTGCTTCTCTATTTCCACCGGGGAAAACAACATGGTTAGTCGACGATGTATCAGCGGGCGTCAGTGGACAGACATACTGACGAAGTTTGGGTCCGGTGGCTGGTTAAAGGCTCGGTCAAACGGGGAACCCATGATGCATGAATGATCGTTGGATAACCTGGGGCAAGGGTCAATGTTTCTTGCTGTTCAGGATGAAGTTCCGAGGGAAATAATGTGCGAGGCTTACCCTTCTTATGGATGAACCAGTCTCTCAGTCTATCCAAGCTCACCAGTGAGCTTGCGATTTTGCAGGGGTCCCATTCGCCGAGAGCAGTCTTTTATGAAACCCCTCTGCCTGGCAAAAGGGTGTGATGTTTCCGAGAGACTCGAGCTCGAGGCCGTCCAGGCCTTCATCTGCGCCAGCTGGAACGAGGAGCCAGCCCATTTCGGGCACAATTGTCATCGAAAATGCCTTGCAGTCGTCAGCAAGCGCGCACGTTCAGCCTAGCGGAGTGCACGGCATGAATCATACTCGTATCCTGTTCCACAGCCGGATTCAGCTCGACGCGTAATGGCGTGATGCCATGGATCGAGATGGAGACCGTCGGAGGCCCCCAGAGGTCCGTGCCTCGTACGAGTACGGGGTGGCTTGTTTGGGTGTACAAAAGAATGCGTAGGCATTTACAGATTATGCCAAAATCTGAAGGAGCTGGATGAGCTGAAAGAGCTGCAACATCGACGACCACTCAGACCGTGCAGCTTCAACCTGCATAAAAGATGTTGGTGTGGTCATAACATCACACAACCAAGGAAATAGGTGCGCGCACCTTGACAGCGGAACTGTGGCCATGATATTGGTGTCACGGGTTGCACTACTCAGCCCCGTCAGCATAAGTCTCCTTTTATACATATGTTTTGCTAGCCTCCTATAGATGTGTACTCTAGAACATTACTCGAAACGTGGGTACTAGGGGGGTGCATTGACTGGGAAAAGGGTCACTGACTGGGAAATAGAACGTAGCTATATAAAAGTGGCCGCGTAACGCTTATAAATTGAGTTTTACTATTCGGCCAAGTAGAAATCTCTATTCGGCCAACACTAGCTAAAAGGCGGGGTACCTTTATGTCCCGCATTAGTACCATCCTTTTGCTATTCCTTTTAGCGAAAAATCCTTAAAAATCCTAGATAGCTCTAACTACGAAGTAGCGTACTCGAGCGCCCGAGCCAGTAGGGGAGGGGTCCCTCTTGGGGAGGGGCCCTACTGTGGGGGTTTACCCCCGCGCGAGGTGAGCGCGACGTACAAGACGAGTACTTTAAGATACTTAAGATTTCTCTTTAATAACTAAGGCGTATTGTAGCCAATTAAAAGAGGGGATTTTATGAGACTCTTGGCCGAATAGAGATTTCCACTTGGCCGAATAGCAATACTCTATAAATTTAGGTACTCTACGTTGTAAGGGACGCGGGGAAGAAAGTTATGCACTTAAACGAGGAAATTAAGTACATAGCGCGGCTATGTTATGCTTGTAAATTTGGTTGGCGCTAATGTACCCTACCGTTTCCCAGTCAGTGACCCTTTTCCTAGTCAATGCACCCCCCGTGCTTGATGTTCAAGCGCGGGGGGTCGACTTTCAGACCCCCCTAGTATATAGTCGGGCATATGTTTACACCCTTCAAGGATCGAAAATGCCACTGGAGTACAAGCCCCACGGAACAGAAATAGGTATCCACGAATATGAATTAGTATATAAAGGTACTAGTAGCCGTTAGGACCAATCAAAACCCTCGTTGCAGGGCTCGTACTCCAGTGGCATTTTCGATCCTTGAAGGGTGTAGGTACCTAGGTATGATGCCGCAAACCCCGAATGCCAACCCGATCACTGCGGGAGACACAGCCAGCCGGCGTTCTAAAGATCACGAAATATATAAGTGGACATGTTCCCTTGAGTTGTTTTGTTCTCCCCCTTCCCTTTAAACTAAGCCAAGACGTTGTCTTCTCGCATGCCAACCTACCCATTACTACATAGTCTGCATTATGACTGCTGTGGCTACAACGGCCCAGAAAGCCTGGGTCGACACCTTTGACGGCGGACCATACACGTCTTTCAAAATGATGGACTATATGCTCTACAAGGCTAAGGGGGCATCATATGAGGACTTGGTGAAGAATCCCAAGGTCGCCAAAAACATCTCCAAGCAGGATATTGAAAAGGACGACATGAACAAGGCCCCCTTTTTCGACACTTGGGGGTCCAAGACCGGGCGCTGCACTTCTTTCGCAGTCAAGATCACCGCGGAACTTGTGAAAGCCAATCCGGGCGTGTTCGACTTCAAAGTCTACGATCTCAAGGGCCACCGAGTCGCTCGTTGCATCAAGACTGGCGTCCTGATCGACTCCAGCTCGTGGGTTGGTGCCTTTATTTTGAAAGAAGGCGAATGGAAAACCTTCCAGGACGGCGCTACGACTGCGAAGTGGAAGTGGGTCAACAATGAGTCCAAGTTTAAGACAGACGGCAAAGAGGTAAGCACACATTGAGGGGTCCTTTCAGTATCGCCGAGTTATTGTAATTTGCTAATGCAATCGTTGATTTGATGAAGAAATCTTCGTCGACTGTCATCACATCAAGAGAGGCAATGGCAATTTGCCTGACAGAAGTGGCAGAAAGGCCGATTGTTCTTACCTTGTTCCGGTACGTTCGTCATCTCTCAGCCCCTCTTTGACACTGGGTCTACTGCAAAGGTTACTGCTAAATAAATTTCGTTCTCAAAGGTCCTTTTCCAATGAAAAGACAGGTTACCACGGTATGTTTTCCTGGGTGTTTAACAAAAAACGCCTAGAGATGACGCCTGATCTCGAGAAGAGAAAGTCCAAGCTTGTTATCACTTGGGACGGAAAAGGCACCGAGGAGGATAATAAGGCATGCGTGGACAATTTCGCCCAGTTTGTCATGAACTACGGAGGCCCGCACTGGGAACAGCAATTCAAAGCAACCGGCATTATGCAAGTCAACGAAAAAATCTGGAATGCAGCTAACATAGTATGGGGGGCCTATCCAAAATACAGCGTAGAAGGGTAAAGGCTTTTCGGAATCTCCATGCTGATTTGATACTGTCTCCTGGACCATAGCTGCTGTGCCAGCTCCTTTGCATTCCCCGAGGGCCTCGCAATATTATGTACATGTTATCCATCCATCAATCGTTCCTGCTCCGCCTTCACAATCCAGAATCTCAGGGTCTCCTCAGAACCTTCAAGCCAGCCTTCCCGGCGCCGAGCTTGGCTCTCAGCCGCGGTTCTTGCCTGGTTTGTGTTCTCAGGCAGTTGAGCCATCCACGCCAGGATTTCTTTCGAGTACTGCTATTCGCACAACCAAATATATCTATTCGCACAACCTTTCTCCTTAGCGTCGGTCTAACGCCCGTAGTAAAGGTCTCGCGCCGCGCCAGGCCCCGCCACCTAATTTGTGTATATATCCTTAGGTACTAAGAGGACCTCCTTAAGTCACTGCAGCCTACCTACGTAATAGCATTTCTACGTGTTACCAAGTGAGGCCAATGACGATGGATAGCACCGAACTTCCGATCCGCGATGTGGAGCGTGCTGTGGAGCTCGAAGAGCCGCTCAACGACCAACCTACGCAGCAAGAGCAGGAGATTCTACCTGTGCCGCCGCCGCCGCAGCAGCCATACGACTCCGTGGAGGCACTGTATAATGACCTTCAGCAATTCCAACGCGAGAACGGCGCCGCGATCGTTAGGAGTTCGTCTAACAAGAAATACACGATTAACGGGCGCGAGGTCAACACGTAGGTAACCTTCGTGTGCGACCGCGGCACTAGTCGGCCTTCATAGAGTGCTGGCCTCCGCAATGCCTCGACTACGAAGCTTAACTGCCCTCTTACGATTAAGGCCTCTATACGTTAAAGGGCTAGCTAGAAATAGAACTATCGCGTGGTCGAAGGCCGCTATAATCACGGGCCGTCTCTCGATCTATCTGCCTATATAATTCATCGCCGCCATACTAACGAGCAGAAGGAGCTCTAGAGGCACCTCTTAAAGTATAAGGCGCTGCCGGCCTGCGAGCTCACCGCGATTATCCGCGATACGTTAAAAGAGTTATTTTTCCGGCTCCGCGATATCTACAACGACCGTTAAAAACTTCGTTTCGATTCCCTCGAGGGAAAGACGGCCACATAGGCGTTCCTTAGCCTACTATAGAGCAGCGGCATTAAGCACACCGTTAAGTACGCCGACGACGATAAGAATAAGGTCGAGGTGCTCTTCTAGACCTACCTATAGTGTGAGAAGATGTGGAAGCGATTCCTAGAGGTCCTCGGCCTCGATAATACGTATAAGACGAACCGCTTTAAGATATATCTCTTCTAAGCTACTAGGGTTACTAATCAACGCTCTATAGCTAACTTCGCGTTTGGCCTTATTAATATAGAAAAAGAGGAAGGATTCTAGTGGCTATATAACCGGCTCGAAGAGCTAAGGCTGGCAGTTAACGCGCCTACGCCTGCTGTTATTATTACTGACAAAGAGAAGGCGCTAAAGAATGCCCTCGCCCGCGTCTTTCTACTAGCATAGCAGCAACTTTGTGTATTCTATATTAACTCTAATGTACGGGCAAGAATTAACAGCCGATGGGAAGGTGACGGCTCTGACGATGACGCTGACGCTGACGATGCGGCGTCAGCGGTACAATAAGACGTCGATCTCGCCGCTCGCGACCGTACGCAACGAGAGACCGATGAGGGCATTACGACTGCCTCGGCAGCTGCTATAGCTACTAAGATTACCCGTGACGGTATGTTTGAGGCGTGGAAGCGCGTTATCTACGCCTTAATAGAGGACGACTTCACTATAGCGTAGAAGGCTCTCGACAGTGCCTTCAGCGAGCAACAATGTCCCATCGTGCAGTATATATCTAACGAGCATATGCCTTGGCGAGAGCAGTAGGCGAAGTGTTATATTGACCGCTATCGCAACTTCGGCCAGAGGGTCAATAGCCCTATAGAAACAGCACATAAAGATATAAAGTCGTATCTCCTTACTAGCATAGGCGACCTTCTTTACCTCTATAACGCACTATTATAGATAATCGAGAACAAAGAACGCACCTATATCGAGGAAGCGGCGCGGCAGCAAATGCGGCAGCGGCGAATGTTCCTCGGTTAGTCGTGGCTCGGCGATTTAACGATGAATATTACGTGGTAAGCGGTAGACCTACTCCCTCGCTAGCATCGATTCGCCCTCGCCGCGATGCCTAACGACGAGGCGGCACAATAGAAAGTACGGCGGCAAGAGCTCGTGCCTCGGCCAGTGCAGCCGTGCCGCGGAACCTTTACACAGCAATACGGCCTGCCTTGCTCTTACGAGATACTTCGGCGCCTCTATAACGGCACCCCGCTAATAAAAGACGACGTTTACCTACGCTAGTAGCTTAAGAAGCCGTTGGTAAGACTTCTGCTAATTTATATATAAATTCTGCTAATTCCTACGCCTAGGATATCAACGAGCTATTGCTTCGAATCCGTGACCCTAACGTGATAGAAAACGTACGCGGGCGGCCGCGTGCACCGAGGAACGGCAAGATCGAGGTTCCGGCATCACTTTAACGCTAGAAAGCCGGCCAGAATACGCCTTTGCGTACCTTGTAGGCGCCGCGAGGCTTATAGGCGCCGCGTGCCCGTGGCTTAAAGGCATCGCGGGCAACTTCTCTACCGCGGTCAAGCCAGCAGAGCACGAGGAAGCTCGCCACGAGCATACCCCGTACGATAACATAAGCCGAGGTTAACGTGCTTTAAGGCACGGCACCGCCGCCGGCGCGGTCGACGCAGCGATTAAGTTCGACGAGAAATATAGGGAAAATAAGCGGTTGGCGATCTTCGCGTAGACGGGGCAGAGGTAGCCGAGAGGCCAAAGGCGGCAGCAGTAGCAACGCGGCATCACAGTTGGCATTATAGGCGGCGTTATAGCCGACGATGGATGTTATCGTGATTCCTAGCACGCTAGCCGTCACGGGCACGCCCCCGTCTATATAGCCGGAGGAATACGCGGGCCGAGGAGTTTTAACTTCCGCTATAGTAGTAAAGATATATTTTCTATATAAATTAAAGCACTATTTACGTGCCTCTTATAATACTATATATTTACTATATATAGCCTATAGTAACTTAAGTAGGTCCTCTTAGTACCTAGGGATATATATATAAATTAGGTAGCGGGGCCTAGCGCGGCGTAAGACCTTTACTATAGGCGTTAGACCGACGCTAAGGAGAAAGGTTATATAAATAGATATATTTAGTTATATAAATAGTAGTACTCTTTTAAATAACTTACGCCGCTTAAGAGCTTGCTCCTTAGCACTACCCTTTAAATCGGTTTTAATACTTCGATTAGAATCTATACCCTCGATTTACCCTCGATATAATAGCGCGCCGCGCTTAGAGCGTCGGAGGGGTAGACAAGGTGCTAATAGTAATCGACGGCGGTAAGAAAGGGTTAGCGTAAAGTATATACTACCTTAACGCCGGCTAAGAAGCGTTTATAATAGCATCGTAAACTAATCTTAACCCTCTTACGGACTAAAACTAACTTAAGGAATACGTACGAGAAGCCTACCGATATATTGCTAGCCTAGTATATAGGGAGACCTTTTAAGGCGTCTAGGAGGCTATCTAAAGGCTTTTATACGCCGACCGCGAGGCGTATATACTATATAGCTAAACCTCGGATAAACTTACTATAATAAAAGTAGAGCTTATAGTAATAGCTAAGGAAGTAGTCGAAATAGTAATAGGAGGTAAGACTATAAAGAAGACTTAGGCGGAGATTATAGCCGGCGCGTAAACTACCCGCTAACCGCTAGCCCTTATAGAAACCCGGTCCCTGCCCGCTTTAATAGAGAATTAGTAGTCTATAGTAGCGGTATTACCTAAGATCTTAAATAATATCGCCCCCTAGAGATAGTTTAGGCTATTAATCGCGCTTTTAGCGCTACTATTACGATTGCGGCCTAAGTACTTTAAAGCGGAAATATAGTTATTACCTTTAAAAAAGCCGCTAGATAGTATTATATTAGGACGGACTAGCTATAAGACGCTTTTAGACGATAAGCGACGCTCTCTTAATATAGCTATACGCTAATCGTTAAAGGAGTCCTTATTAAGGAACTATAAGACTAAGATAACGAGACCGCGGTAAAGGTAATTATAGCGGAGAATAAAGCTAAAGTTATCTACCTTAGAGCGCGTAGAGTAAAGGGCGCCGGAGTAATAAAGACGACCCTTATACTTATAGTAGATAAGGTAAATATAGCGAATAAGATTTACGATTAAGGACTACTTCTTTAGTCTAAAATTTTTAACTTAGAACCTTATAATAACTCGCTTAACTTAAAATAGTACTTCTACTACTATTAAATAAGTCACCTTACCCGCTATTATAAAGCGAAGCTAATATATAGATAGTACGGCACTAACCTATACCTAGATAACGAGTGCCCGGCTGCCTTAAGCTAATCTCCCTATAAGTATCCCCTATATAGCGGCGTATATCTAGCGTAGGACCGCCGCTATAATAATACTAAAGAGTACTAGGATAGAGCGCGTAAGGCCTACGCCTTTAGAGCGAGACGGTTTAGAAATCGCGGCCGCGACCTAACGCCGCGCCCTTAGCTACCCGAGCTTAATAAACTAGCTAACGACTCGCTACTACTACTATACCCTAAGCGACCTTAACTAGCCTTAGCTAGACCGGGCCGCTCCTCGATTAAGACCGTATACGTATAGGGCTAATCGGTATACTTAGCGTTTATAGTTAGCTAGCGGGCCGCTAATATAATAAGAGTATCTTAAGAGAGTATTACTAATATCCCTATAAATAATACTAAATATTAATTATAGTAATATATTAGAATATAAACCGATAACTTATATTTATAAAGCTTACGCTTTAAGCCCTATATACTATTAACGTTATTATAATCTAAGAGCTAGCTAAGAATACTAAGACTAGCTATTTAATATACCTAGGTAAGAGTAACTACCGTCTTATCTTTACTACTAGCTATATAGCGCTCTATATTTATAAATAGTATAATAAAGTTATAAACCAGCGATAGAGGCGTTAATTAATATAGCGTTACCTTTACTAAGCTTAATACTATAATCTTCTTTATTTATTCCCTGATTTATACTAAGGAGCTTAAATAAAGCCTGCTTCTTATTTTTATATTAAGTACGCTAAGCTATAAAGCCGCTTTTATTAAAGACTTTAATATCTACTACCTACTTTAAGATATCTATAACTAAACGTTAGATAACTATAACGATATACTAAAGCTAGTAAGCTAATAGAATCTTATACTTACTACGCTTAAGGGCGAAATTACTTATCTTAGTAGGCCGGGTAAGCGTAATAGTATAATAGACCTCGCCTAGGTCTCGTAGGACCTCTTAGTAATATACCTTAGTAAAGTAGATATTATAGGTTTAGACTATATCCTATAACTTCTATAACTTAACGTTAGACCGCCTCCGCCTTACTTATATATTACGACCACGGCTACTAAGCCGCTAACGGTCGACCGCGTTAAGCACGTAATACGGTCTAACGGATAAATAGTCGGCACGACTATCTAATAGATATAGGATCGAGGGGATCGTAGAGATCTAAGTAATCTAGGATTAATAAGATTACTATGCTCTATACGATCTAACGTTAGGGATTATAGCTAAGCCTATAATCTAAGGATAGTCTCTATAAGTATATATAGCTACCTACTTTTACTCCTTTAGATAGAT